ACGGAGGATGAGATGGTTGGATGGCATCACCGACTCGATGGACATGGGTTTGGGTGGACTCCAGGAGTTGGTGATGGACAGGTAGACCTGGCATGCTGCAGTTCATGGGGTCGCAAAGAGTTGGACATGACTGAGTGACTGAACTGAACTGAACTGAATACAGTCCATGGGGTCGCAGAGTTGGACATGACTGAGTGACTTTCACTTCACTCACTTATATCATATTTGAAAGTTGTTGAGAGTACATCCTAAAAGATCTCATCCCAAGGGAAAAAATATATATTTTTCTTTTTCTTTAATTTGGTATCTGTATGAGATAGATGTGAACTAAACTTATTGCAGTAATCATTTCATGATGTATATAAATCAAATCATTATACTATACACCTTGAACTTATATAGTGCTGTATGTCAATTATATCTCAATAAAATTTGAAGAAAAAATTAAGGTGAAGTAAATATTTTCTTTAGTAAAAAAAAAGCCAAGATAACTTGCTGTTAGCAGGACTGTTAAAAAAAATATTTATTTTATTTATTTGGCTGTGCCCAGTCTTAACTGCGACACAAGGGTGTGTGAGCTCAACAAGTTGTGGCATGTGAGCACCTAAGTTGCAGCATGTGGGATCTAGTTCCCTGACCAGGGATCGAACCTGGGCTCCCTGCAGTGGGAGCATGGTGTCTCAGCCACTGGACCACCAGGGAAGTCCCTTAGCAGACCTTTCCTACAAGAATTGTTAAAGTTTTTGAGGTAGAAGAAAAGTCATGTTTCTGTAAGAAACTTGGATCTACACAAAATAATGAAAATCACCAGAAATGCAAATGAATGAATGAATATGTGAGTGAATAAAACTATTTTATTTCTGTTTCTTTAAAGATAAGTTATTTAAAGATGATTAACCATTTAAAGTAGAGAGATGATTTGTGACTCCACCAGTTAGAACATGGTTATGGTTAAGTAGGAAAACAACTTCAACTTTCTACTTGATCTTGTCATTTGTTACAATACAAAGAAGGCTGAGCACCAAAGAATTGATGCCTTCAAACTGTGGTGCTGGAGAAGACTCTTGAGAGTCCCTTGGACTGCAAGGAGATCAAACCAGTCAATCCTAAAGGAAAGAACTGGACATGGAACAATGGACTGGTTCAAAATTGGGAAAGGAGTACATCAAGGCTATATATTGTCACCCTGTTTGTTTAACTTCTATGCAGAAAATATCATGCAAAATGCCAGGCTGGATGAATCACAAGTGGGAATCAAGATTGCCAGGAGAAATATCAATAACCTCAGATATACAGATGATACCACCCTAATGGCAGAAAGCAAAAAGGAACTAAAGAGTCTCTTGACAAAGGTGAAAGAGGAGAGTGAAAAAGCTGGCTTAAAACTCAGCATTCAAAAAACTAAGATCATGGCATCTGGTCCCATTGCTTCATGGCAAACAAATGGGGTGGGGGGGGGAATGTAAACAAAGACAGACCTCATTTTCCTGGGCTCTAAAATCACTGCAGATAGTGACTATAGCCATGAAATTCAAGGCCACTTACTCCTTGGCAGAAAAGTTATGTCAAACCTAGACAGTGTATTAAAAAGTAAAGACATCATTTTGCCAACAATTTTCGTATACTCAAAGCTATGGTTTTTCCAATAGTCATGTACAGATGTGAGAGTTGGACAATAAAAAAGGTTGAGCACTGAAGAATTGATGCCTTCAAACTGTGGTGCTGGAGAAGACTCTTGAGAGTCCCTTGGACTGCAAGGAGATCAAACCAGTCAATCCTAAAGGAAATCAACACTGAATATTTATTGGAAGGACTGATGCTGAAGCTGAAGCTCCAGTACTCTGGCCACCTTATGCGAAGAGCTGGCTCATTGGAAAAGACCCTGATGCTCAGCAAGATTTAATGCAGGAGGAGAAGGGGATGACCAAGGAGATGGTTGGATGGCATCACTGACTCAATGGACATGAGTTTGAGTAAGCTCCAGGAGATAGTGAAGGACAGAGAAGCCTGGCATGCTGCAGTCCATGGGGATCATAAAGAGTCAGACATGATTTAGTGACTGAACAACATAGTGTCAATGAACACAGAACTATCCAAATGATTCAGTGTGACTCTGGTAGGGTACACAACAATACATAATTCACTCCATATGCAAAATTAATACTGTAGTTGGGTTGGGTTTAATTCAATCACTGATGAGTTATATGTGATGAACCGTGGCTCCTTATACCTGGCTGGTCAGTTCCATAGCAGGCTGTGGTATAGAGCAGAAAGAGGTGTAGGAAAAAGAACAAGAAGAACTAGTCAATACAGCAATTTTTTAATGGTCTTTATTATATAAAATGCTCTGTTGACCACAAGCAACTTATGTTCTGCTGCTAGAAGAACCCCACAGTCTCACAGAGCTCAGCTAAGAATTCTTCCCTTGAGCTCACTTTTAGTAATGTATTTAAGAAAATTTATACTCAAGTCATCTCATTTTTTGTAAATCAAACTCAAAATCTGCATCCCTTTTCTATTAAATGTTCACTCCACTAGGTGGAGGCATTTGCTCAGTTTTGTGGTTCAGAGGACAGTAGCCTGGGATAGAGTATAGTGAGCAGGGGAACAAGTCAAGAAAGAAAGAACCCTGGCAAGCCCTGATGCTTTGCATTGTCTTATCTTGGCAAATGTACCCATATTGCTACACAGGTTTCAGTATTTGCTTTTAGTGTTTAGCAAAGTAAAGTAGTCAGGTTTTCCACGTTGATAGTATCTGAATTTTTTATTTTGTTTGAGTAATTTGAACTTTAGCCACTGCAGGTTGAATAGATTATTAACCATGAATTAAGTTTTCTCATTTTAATTCTGCTAGACAGGAAGTGAAGAAGAACTAAAGAGCCTCTTGATGAAAGTGAAAGAGAAGAGTGAAAAAGTTGGCTTAAAGCTCAACATTCAGAAAACTAAGATCATGGCATCTGGTCTCATCACTTCATGGGAAATAGATGTGGAAACAGTGGCTGACTTTATTTTTTTGGGCTCCAAAATCACTGCAGATGGTGATTGCAGCCATGAAATTAAAAGACGCTTACTCCTTGGAAGGAAAGTTATGACCAACCTAGGCAGCATATTAAAAAGCAGAGACATTACTTTGTCAACAAAGGTCTGTCTAGTCAAGGCTATGGTTTTTCCGGTGGTCATGTATGGATGTGAGAGTTGGACTATAAAGAAAGCTGAGTGCCGAAAAATTGATGCTTTTGAACTGTGGTGTTGGAGAAGACTCTTGAGAGTCCCTTGGACTCCTACCAGTCCATCCTAAAGGAGATCAGTCCTGGGTGTTCATTGGAAGGACTGATGCTGAAGCTGAAACTCCAGTACTTTGGCCACCTGATGTGAAGGGCTGACTCATTTGAAAAGACCCTGATGCTGGGAAGGATTGAGGGCAGAAGGAGAAGGGCAAAACTAAGGATGAGATGGTTGGATGGCATCACCAACTTAATGGACATGGATTTGGGTGAATTCCGGGAGTTGATGATGGACAGGGAGGCCTGGAGTGCTGCGGTTCATGGGATCACAAAGAGTTAGACACGACTGAGCAACTGAACTGAACTAAACTGAGACAGTTCTTGCATTCAGCAGTGATGTATTAAGTGAGGGTCTGTAACAATAAAATAAATGCTATTTTCACAATATTACAGAAATTTTCTGCTTAATTAAGATGGTAATATAGGGGATAATGTAAAATGTTAACATACATATTGTTATGTAATACGGGTTTCCTAGGTGGCGCTAGTGGTAAAGAACCCTCCTGTTAGTACAGGAGATGTAAGGGACATGGGTTTGGTCCCTGGCTCCAGAAGATCCCCTAGAGGAGGGCATGACAACCCACTCCAGTGTTCTTGCTGGGAAAATTCCATGGACAGAGGAGCCTGGTGGGCTAGTGTTAATAGGGCCACACAGAGTCAGACACAACTGAAGTGACTTAGTGTGCATGCACACGCAAGTAATACGTAAGCCTTTATATTAGTAACTTCAAGTAAAATATTACCTCTTCAATGGGGAGATGCTGCTTTTTTTTGAATATGCTATGCAAGTAACAGAAATATGTGTGACAATTTTTAAAGTAACCTGATGCAGAGAGCTGACTCATTTGAAAAGACCCTGATGCTGGAAAAGGTTGAGGGCCAGAGGAGAAGGGGATGACGGAGGATGAGATGGTTGGATGCCATCACCGACACAATGGACATGGGTTTGGGTGGACTCCGGGAGTTGGTGATGGACAGGGAGGCCTGGCGTGCTGTGGTTCATGGGGTCTCAAAGAGTTGGACGCGACTGAGCGACTGAACTGAACTGAACTGAAATATAAAAGGTCCAGAGAATTGTAGGGAAATATTTTTTTTTTCAGCTTGAAGCTTTTTGTGGTCATCTTGGGTTTCTACTTCTATGTTTTTATTGGTACCGACATTATATGGAAACAATATCCTTCTACTCAAACAGGAAATTCATCTGCTCTTTGCTTTGTATTTGAAGTTGTAATGCCCTGTGTCATCAGTTAATTGACTTCAAGGAAGTACTTGAAGTACTTCAATACTTCTCTGAAGTATTGAACTTTCTGAAAGCAACCCAGTTTTCTCTTTTGTGCAATTACTTTTTATAAAGTCTTTCTTGTATAAATACTATTGTCTCTTAGTTTTATTGTTTTAAGGATACTTTATTAATTATCTACAGCTCTTCTCATAAATTGATTAAAAACATAACAGACTTTTGTCTTCCAATCCCTTAGAGAAAATTTAGTGTGTGACGTTATTATTATTTTTTTCCCATCCTACATCTTTGGGAAAGGGATGACAAATCAGATGTTTATAAAATTATTGTTGGAAAGAATTCTAACTTTTCATGTCTAACATATCTTGTCTCATATTTAAATAACACATTTGCTTTTTCATTTGAAACAGTTATTCAGTATACATTGATAAAATGTCTCATTCATCCACAAACCTAACAATCGATCTTCTTTTCAGGATGAAGGTCTGGCCCGCCAGTTGGTGGAGCTAGGCTACCGAGGTACTGGAGAGGTGGTGAGAAGAGAAGATTTTGAAGCAAGGAAGGCAGCTATAGAGATTGCAAGGTTGGCTGAAAGAACTCAGAAAAAGTAAGTGTCCGTGTTCCAAACTGATTTTATATTACATTTTGCAGAGTCTGAAAATCCCGTTTTGTTGGCATTGTGGTAATTTAGAAGCACTAGTTGGAACCGGTAGAACTCGGAATATTCTAAGCATGTGTTGTGCAGATTAGGGATTGGAGGAAGTGTTGTATGGTTGCAAGAAAGCCACAAACAACTGTGAGCTACTAATTTAAAAAATATCGATACTGAAATATGGTCACCATACCAATAAAGTCCTATTATAACACAGTTCTATATTATTGGCTTTACACAAAAACTACGAGTGATTTTTGCCTTTGTACTTTTGAGGCCTGTAAATCTTTGGCTTCATTTACATTCTCATGTTTTTATAAACACTGATTCACTGGATTCTATTAACAATCACTGACTTTTGTTAATGTGAGTCATACCTGGTTATATGAAATGTGAATTTAATAAAATACATTAAATGTATTAGGAAAGAGATGTACATCTAAAGTGAATAAACAAGTAGACAATTTGAAAAAGACTTGACAAGTAATTATCTATTTTCTTTTTAAAAGTTAATGCTAAAGTGGTAAATGTTGGAGAAGATAATTACTTAGAAATTGGTATATTATTCTTGCTGTTGTTGTTTAGTCATTAACTCATGCCTGACTCTTTCTGATCCCATAGACATAGCCTGCCAGGCTCTCCTGTCCATAGGATTTCCCTACCTATGGTTGATTCTTGTTGATGTTTGACAGGAAACAACAAAATTTGGTAAAGCAATTATCCTTCAGTTAAAAAACAAATAAATTAAAGAAAAGAATACTTTATCTTCCTGACCCAGGGATTGAACCCACATATCTTGCATTGGCGGGCAAAGTTTTTACCACTGAGCCACCAGGGAAGCCCACATTATTCTTAGGTGACATGTAAAAGAATACTCAGTAATTACAAGTAGAAGTCTCCCATGGATTTGCTATAAAAATAACATTTGGTAGTGGACTGTGAGTCTGTCCTGGAAATGTGCAATTTTAATGAATCTTTCCATTAAAGTAGTGGTTCTCGTACTTCAGGACCATAGAATATTGGAATTTAATATGCTGACATTCAGTTATATATTAGTCTTCTATTGCTGTCATAACACATTGCTACAAACTGAGTGGTTGAACACTACACAAATGTATTTATTTACTGTCCTGTAGGTCAGAAATCAGAGTACAGTGGCTTGGCTGGATTCTCTGCTCTCTGTATCCCAAAGTTGAAATCCCGGTGTTGACTAGACTGAGTTCTTTTCTGGAGATTCTGAGAATGAATCTGCTTCCACACTCATTTGGGGCTTCTGTGAAGGCTCAGTTGGTAAAGAATCCGCCTGCAGTGCAGGAGACCCCTGTTTAATTCCTGGGTCAGGAAGATCTGCTGGAGAAGGGATAGGCTGCCCACTCCAGCATTCTTGGGCTTCCCCTGTGGCTTAGCTGGTAAAGAATCACCTGCAATGCGGGAGACCTGGGTTCGATCCCTGGGTTGGGAAGATCCTCTGGAGAAGGGAATGGCTACCCACATACGGGATGGGCCCCATATGTTTCCTTTTGCCCCATGTGGGAGTTATCTTGTTCCCTTCTCTACCCAGGTTCATTGTAGTGTTATTGGCAGTAGGGCCAGCAGAGTCTGGACACCAAACATGTCCTGTACCTATTTTGCTGAGGTTCACTTTGAAAATATGCATGAACATCTGCCTGCCCGCCAACTGGTACCAACTTGAAAACATGTGATTCTACTATGAGATTATCTTAGCTTCTCTAATGTTCAGGTGAGCAGCCCCATGCAGGTCACAATCCTACTCTCCAGCAATCATAGACCACCCATTTCAAGAATTGCTGGCACCTAAGAGTATGTCGTTTTCTTAGAATAGATAAAAGAGGCTGGTTAAAGATATTGGGAGAGAGTATTTTGCTGGAAGAAAGCACAAGTTTAAAACAAATTCCTTAGTTGTTCACTTCACAAATACTCATAGACAACCATGCTGCCCTAGGTGTTATACTAGGTGCGGGGGCTATTATAGAAGACTTGTTAGTCCTCTGCCCTCCAGAAAATTGAGGGCTGGATAAAGAAAAGACAGTGATGTTGCTGGTGGGGATATACAATGGTAAATAGTTTGGTGGTTCTTCAAATTGTTACCATATGACCCAGTAATCCCACTCCTAAGTGTATATCCAAGGGAATTGAATACTTAGGTCCACTTAAAAACTTATACACCAGTGTTCATAGCAGCATTATTCACAGCAGCCAGAAAGAGGCAGAAATTCCGGGACTTCTCTGGTGGTTTAGTGGTTAAAGCTCTGAGCTTTCACTGCAGGGGGTATGGGTTCAATCCCTGGCCAGGGAAGTAAGATCCCATATGCTGCATGGCATGGACAAAAGAGGGAAAAAAGGAAAAAAAGGGAAGCAATCCAAATGTCCATCAACTGATGAATGGATAAAAAATTGTGGTATACATAGATAACAATGGACTATTATTCAGTCATAAAAAGTAGTGAAATATTCTTCTCTGCTATGACACGGATAAACTTTGAAAATATTAGATTTAGCAAAGGAGGCAGGTAAAAAGTTTATAAATTATATAGTCCCGTTTATATAAAGTGTCCACAATTGGTAGATCCATAAGGACAAAAGTAGATTTGTGGTTGTCTTTGTCAAGGGCTGGAAGGAAGAGTGAAAGAAGAATGATTGCCAGTGGGTATGGGCTGTCTTTCTGGGGTGATAGAATGTTCTGGAATTAGATATTGGTGATGACTGTACAGCTTTGTAACTGTACTAAGAACCATTGAATTGTGTACCTTGGAAGTTTGAATACTATGGTTTGTGAATTATATCTCAATTTAGGAAGGCAGTTACAACAGAAGATAACATAGGCTATCATAAGTCTCACAGCAACACCCTGAAGTAGTACTAAGTCAAGCTTTGAATGTGAACAGGGAAGGCTCTTCTTAAGGCATGTCAGCTAATTTACTTTTAAAGGGCAAGTCGGAGTCAGTGAGGAAGACAAGGGTGTGAAGGTGGACACACATTCACTTTGCCTCAACTCATGATGAACTTGCCTTCTTCACAAATCCTCCTCTCTACCTCTTTGTCTTAATTTGTGCCTAGTCCCTTGCCAAGACGTCCCCCCAGCCCCAGTTGTACCAGCTAGAGGTCACTCATTTCCACGTTTACTGGATTTGTGGTGGGGACAGTGGTGGTGGTGGGTGGGCTCTGCTTTTTCCTAGCTCCCTCAGCCTTTGTTTCAAAGCCCTCTCTGCTTCATTATCACATAAACGTCATCTCTCATCCCCCATCCACTGAGATGAATGCCAGCTGGGTAGCTGCAAGGCAGAGACTTTTTGTAAAGGTTGAAAAGAAAGGATGGGATTAGTTTAGCTGGTGTTTACTGAGGTAGCTCCCCTCATAAATCCTGGAGAATTTCTAGCTGTAGTGAGAAGATCAGTTGATTTCCATGGGTGATAGAGAGAAAGATGTTGACTATTTGCACACACGTTGAATATTGGATTATTGAGGTCTAGTTAGTAGTTATATCTGAGTAGTTATATCTCAGCTTGAACACTGTCCTGGATGAGGTTGTAAGATCATCAGCCTCTTAGCTTTGGGCCAGTTTATGTTTTTAGGACATGAATTAGCTCTTCTGTAAGCTGCTTCTGAGATAATGACCTAATTTTTACTGAAATGCAGAATCTGAAACACAGAGGGCATAATTAGTAGCCCTGGAGGAACTGAGAATTGTACTACTTGGCTGTTGCCATCTTCTTGAGAGACTTTGTGATGGGCCTTTGGGAATTCCTATAAAGGGAGCTTGACAGGCATCTCAGATGCCAAATATATAGGGATCCCTGTGACCTTTCCTGCTGAAATAAAGAGGATATCTGTGGTGATTTGGGCTTCCCAGGTGGCTCAGTGGTGAAGAATTCACCTGTCAATGCAGAAGATGCAGGAGCCTGGGTTCGATCCCTGGGTTGGGAAGATCCCTAGAGGAGGAAATGGCAACCCACTCCAGTATTCTTGCCTGGGAAATCCCATGGCTAGAGAAGACTGGTGGGCTACAGTCCGTGGGGTTGCAAAGAGTTGGACGTGACTGAGCACGCATGTATGCATAGTGATTTTGGAGAAGGCCCTATATTCTTTTATCCTCAAGTACATCGCGGACTAAATTTAAAAAGTTGGACTAAGTCCCCAACCTTTCTTATTCCAACCAATCGTCAGCTTATCTTCTGTCCGCTATTTCTGAGTGGAGTATTCTTCCTTAATTTGTTTTTAAAAATAGGAGTTGGAGGTATCTAATAATTGATAGCATACTTTTTCTGAAGATGAAGTTAGATACAAGGTCAAAATTTATTTTATGATTCACTTTACCATATGCTAGTGAATTAAATGTATTTCTGTAAATTCAATGTTTTCTGCTAGTTAACATCTGATTTCTATAAAATGGTTTCACCTTTTCACTCTGTTTCAAGTAGTTTATGCTTTTAAAGTCATTCTTGTACATTTAATAGCTCTCAAACAAGAAATCTTGAGTTGTGGCTTGTCTGACATTAGCTTCTCTAGGAAGCAGACAGTGGGGGTCAGAAGAGAGAAGGTTTTCTGGGGAAGTAACACCTGTGAAAGGGAAAGTGAGGAAGCAGGACTGAGCAGGGTTGGAATCTTCTTCTTCTTCTTCTTTTTTTTTTTTTAAATATTTATGTATTTACTTGGCTGTGCTGGGTCTTCATCGCCACATGTGGGATCTTCAGTCCTGGTTGCGGCACTCAGGATGTTTTTAGTTGTGCCATACAAACTAGTTGCAACATTCAGGATTGAGTTCCCCAACCAGGCATCAAACCAGGGCCTCTGGCACTGAGAGCTCAGAGCCCCAGCCACTGGACCACCCGGGAAGACCCAGGGTCAGACTCTTCTTTTTTTTTTTTTTTTTGCCAGTAAACAACTTAGTCTTTTATTTGCCCAAGGCCAGCTGTTGCAGGCATTGAGGCCCCAAG